TCCCCCACTGAGCAGGCCCCACGTCCAGCAAAGGGCCCACCAGGCATTGGCCTCAAGGCACGACGTGTCGAGTTCCCGCAAGTCCTTGCAGTTTGTTACTGGTCTGTTTCTTTTAGAGAAGCTAGAAGGGTACGGAATGGAGAGGAATTAAGAAAACATTGCGTTCCATGAACAGGTGGACTCAGCTGTGGTAGTTTGCTCAATCCTTGTTTTGTTCCCGATGAGTGATGTTTTTGTGTTCTGAGTGAACTTTGGGCGAACAGGCGAACACAGAAAATGAACGGGGAGGATGCCAATCCAGCGATCCATGTAGGAAGAATTGGAACATCGATGCAGATTGAACCAAACCTGGAACGGTAGAACAAAATGAAAACCATCAAGGTCGATACTATATATAGACACTATTGGAAACTATCAAGTGCAACCAAGGGCTGACGTGTTCCTTGATATCCGATCCATGTTGTTTTGTTCTGATGAAGTTTGCATACCGCAGCATACCTGAGCTTCGAATAATTATGCTATGCAGAAGACAACTTTAGTCAATGTAGGGAGCGAATCCAACTCTGGCTGCTTACTCAGGTTACTCAAGAGACACTCCCGGCTCAGTATTTCCAAGTGGGAAACTAAAACTAAAAAACACCACCAGGATGTGCGACAGTCTTGTGGGCCAACAGCTCTGGGGCATACAATTTCGGCCAATTTCCACATCTGTTGGACTACAGGACGGCAGGACATCTCCCCCCGCATGGCCCGGGACAAAATGCTGCGTGGTTCGACGACGACACCGGCGTTTCTCCCGAGATCGCCTGCACCCTGAGGGTGCTTGGGTCGCCATCAGAGGCGCCTTCTCAGCCTACGAGGGCCATGTGAACTGCAGCCACCATGAAAGGAGTTCAGGACTCTCCTCTCCTCTCCTCTTCTCTTGCGCTCAAACATGCCAGCAGGGCTTAGGTGCCAGAAAACGACAACAGTAAATTGGAAACCTCCGAATGCCTTGCAAATTATGTGGAAGATCGATTTGATGGGCTTGTCGAAAACTGTGCATGAGCTCCTGGATCTCATGGTGACAAGTACGAGCTGTGAAACCCAAACTCAGAAGTTGTCTTACTTCCCTCCCGTTGAATTGAAAACCTTAGAGCCCTCTGAAGACCTATATCCATGAGAGTGCGGCTGCTCAAAGAAGCCTCCAAGACCTATCCCAAACGAAGGGATGGAAGGGCGACAATACGACACGTGAGAAGGAACCCGACACTGCCCCTGTTCTGGCAACACTTATACAAAATTATACCAACACATTATCAGCCTAGATGGATAGATGGCCCAACAAGTGATAGATCTAAAACAAATGGCTTCACTGAACTCACAGGACTTCTTAGACAAGCACCCCTCTATATGCGCTATACATGTCAACTCTTCAGCTCGTCAGAACAATTTTCTTGTTTCTTGCTGGGCAAAGAGATGGTCCAAGCCGGACCCAACCACTTGGGACAAGCCAGGCCGAGGCGGTGGAAACACCGCGGAACGACGCAACCCGCCGGTTCCGGCCTGGTGTGGCAAAGAGTGGGAACGGCCTGACGGCTGCAGCGTGTTGTGGGGCTGAAAAAAGGCAGCGGTGACTGCTGAAAAGATGGAGTCGTGGAAGGGAAAAAACACCTCTAAATAACTGCTTGCCACAGTTTCAAGGATGTTCCCTGTGGCACTACGCCAAAGAGCAAATGAATGCAAATGAGATACGATTCCTTCTATTTCTATAAGCGGAAAGCGTCAAGTCAAGTGTAGCACTAGTCAGAGAAAAAAACATATTCGTATAAAGAAATCAAAACTGGGAACACAGCACTGCAATGTCGCACACCTCACAACAGGTTGGATGATAGTGGGGGCTAATTAACTTCAAAAACACATCCAACTCTCTCAAAATGATCCTTTCTGAACAGGCCAAGCTGACTTTCGATCACGGAGCTGTTCACCAGTCTTCCTAACCCCTCCTGGGTCTTCTGTCGCGTGCCTGCCGCTCTTCCTCCCACTCGCACTGGCCTCTCGGAAGACTGGTGAATCATCGTTTTGCAAAAAGAAGGGCCATGGGAGTTGTGATCCCCTAGTAGAACAACTCCACTCTACTTGAAAACCGACTGCAAACCAATCTGGAGACAGGGGGTGGACACCTCGCACCCACCGATTCATAGTAGACTGCAGAAAGTCATGCAGAATGGTCACGTTTTCTTCAAGAAACAAATCAAAAAATTGAGAGAGAGCAATCAATGTTGCTCGGACACAGGTCATGACCACAAATAATCGACCGAACAATCACTCGCTTTTGGAGCTCACAGCTGATACGATAGCTATGATTCACCCACAGAAATGCTTCCTTTGATGATAAAAGGATCACGGTTTCAACAACATGAGGAATCACCAACCCTCAACGACCATCAACGACCGACGGCCCAGTACAATAATCTCACAAAAAGAGTCTGCTTGTCTGGGGCTTCCGGCGATAAGACCTCACTGACCTGCGGCCACGACGACAAACATGGATCTTGACTGAATTGTTGAGGATTCTTCAAGATATTTCAAGATTATCCCACAAAATCCCTGAACACTTTTGCAATACCATTCCCAAAATGTCCCAAATAGGGATGGACACCTTGACCGATCATTAAAAAAACACACAGTTTGAGTGTTGACTCAGTCCTAACCAATGTTCACTTAGGATACTTAGGTATCAATAGGTCACCACTACAATTTTGGGGCCATGGCACACACTGTTAGCATCTGGCATCTTTTTCACAAGGATATCCTACAGAAGAGATCTCTATTAATCATTACATTCCAGTCTTTTGAGGATTTGGGCATCCTATGTGGTGTGCCTTTCATTGCCTTTCCATGTCGAAGGATCGGATCCTGAAAAAAAAAAACATCAAACAAAAAGAAAACCTTGAGTCAACCTTTGGATTCAGGATTATATCTTTGCAGAATCAAGTCCGGATGGTTCGCTTGCCAAACAAACTGTTCTCAACGGCCCCTTCCGCCATGGCGCATCATCGCTGGCAGCGCCGCCCGGCGCCACCTCCGTCCTCCGTCCGCCTCCCACGGCGCCTCGGACGGAGCGGCGCAGGTGCTCCACGTGTCGCCGAGCCCCTGTGGGCCTCAGCGGAGAAGTTCTTCAACTGGGTGGAGAGGGGCTGGAGCGGAGAGTTGGAAAACCGGTGGTTGGCAGTTGTGCAGATCGGTTCATTTCATGTCCGGGGGTCGGCATCTGTGATCGGCGTGTATTAAAACAACAGTTCGAAGGAACGACCTGTCTACCCAGGGGCTCAGGGGATCTCCCTAAAGACACACCCAACTGGTCTACCGCTCGACCACGTCTTCTGGACACATCCTGCGCCGACGTGCGGGTGTCTTCTTCCACGCGGTGGGGGTGGCAGTTAGATGCGGCCAGTGTATGACGGCTACGAGGGGAAATCGTAGCTGCACAAAGTCTTCTTCTCTTGTAAATATGGTACCGGCCGCTGGTGTAACTTGAGGCAATCAAGGTAGTTGCATAAGCTTGTAATTCTATAATGATCATACATACGCACACCCATATCGTTGCCCAAGATGTGGCAAACACACGCATCCTGGTAGTTCTCACAAACCTTTGCAGCCATGACGCAAATGTCTCTCATCCTGAGACACCATAGACCCCATATTATGGACCCCAAACTAATCCCCAGGCAAAGCAAGTTTCCAAAATGCTGGCAATAGGTAATATGGTAAAACAAACATAAAAATGTATAAGAACCACACACGCACTAAATCACATTGATATTATGCATTCACCACCATCCATGGGCGGCTAGCATGAACTATCTCAAGGAATGGAGCACCTGGGATGAATGTGTGGAACGTGTGTCTATAGGTTCGTTGTGACGGTTCTGGCTGTCACCATAGTGTTGGATCTTCAATTACAGGATGCGAAGCAAGCAATAATGGTCGAACTGTGAATGCAGCTTAGATGTGTCTTTGGTATTTGCTCCTTTCCACTGTATAAGGGACTCCGAAACAGGTGACACAATTCATGAATTCACTAGCAGACCGGCTACGTAGATGACTTCAAGGTCTGGACCAGGAAACAAACAAGACCGCTGTGTTCCTTCACACAAGCCAAACCTTCTGAAGCTGCGGATCCCGTGTCCGCAAAATGTGACTCTTTTTGGCAGCCAGTGTGTTGCGACATGCGGCGGTGGAAGGCCCTGCAAAACGAGACAGAAGGGAAGCATGTTGTCAGGGTCACGGATGATCATGTGATCATGCAAAATCTAGCCATTTCATGAGCAAAGAGATACTTGTATAGATAGAAGGCCATATGGAAGAAGCAACATAGATTCCAATCTATTCCAACATCTTCTACCACACCTGTACAATTTGGCTACTCCCCAAGTAACTACTTCTTGGATCCGTACCTGAAGATGAAGGAATCCAGAAGTCTCATGGAATCATTGTGGTCTTCCAAGGAGCCATTGTCCAATTCCATCTTCCATCAATTCTACACGCGCTCAAAAATCCATAAGAATACTGTATATCATGTGTTTACTTGGATGGTGGATGGTGAATTCCGCCCCCTTCCCTTCCGGATGTGCCGTTCTTCCGGTCAGACCGGACCTCCTCGTCCGACGGTTTTCCATGCTTCAAAGGCGACGAAACGTCGAAGGCCCCGGACCGCCCCCCCTTCGATGTGAAGCTCGTCGAAGCTTGGAGGATCTGGGGTTCGATTGGATGGTTCGTTGGATGGTTCTAGCAGCTGTTTTCTGAGAGGCTGAAATGGATGCTCCATGCTCCATGCTCACGGTAAAAACAACATTGAGAGTCCAAAAATAGGAGTTGGAGATGTGTCTGTGTGGATTGGGAGAACTGTGTCCCTGTTCGTCTAAGGTACGGTGCCAGGGGGGGTGCTAATGGGTGCCATCCATGGACACATGTGAGTTCCAGCCAGAACCACGGACCTGCTGATCCCCCAGCCTAGGTCACCTCGTCGGCCGCCTCCGCGGCTTCAACACCTTCGATGGGAACCTCTTGGCCCGTCGACCTGCAGGTCCCGCGGACCGTGCCCGTCGGTCGGGTGTCGGTTCCGAGGGCTCGAAGGGCAGAACGGCTGGTGCCAGAGTGGCGAGAAGGCGAGAAGCGGCGAGAAGAACTGGACTCCAAAAGTCCGGAGAATGGAAGGGTGGACCAATCTCAAGATTCTCAAGATCATCACACATCCTCAAGCAGTGTCACAAGTTGATGATTCTTTAGTGTCACAAGTGGGTCTTGGGCATCTCGGTGCCCAATAGGTCAGATGTTCCCACGTTGGACCCTGGGAGATGCAGAGTGGCAAGGGGCAGCCCTCAGGACAACTCATTCGATTGCTCTTTGGCACAGCCCAATAGCTCTGAAATGCAAGATAATGCAAGATCTTAAAGCGCCTAAAGAGCCAGGTCAAAACCATTCAAAACCACCAGAATTAAGGGTTTAGTTGGTATGGACATGCCAAAACAACTATGAACAAAGACCCTGGGTGTGTATTCACCAGCCCATGGGTTTTGGTCTGATTCTTCCAGAGGTTGTTTGGGAGGCATCCCAATACATGGCATGTTATACACCCAGATCATCCCAGATCAGTATAACTGTAGAATAAATAATCTATTATATAGATTGGGTACCGCATGGTACCACCATGTACACCCCTTGGACTCCTCCTCCTCGCCTCCGAATCACCGGGTCGGGCCGGTTCGGACTTGGAGTCGTCAACAGTTTTGGTATGTTTTGGCATTCCGAAGTACAGAGAATCGTCTGTGTTGCACCAATGAGTCTAGAGTCTAGATGGGTTTTGGGTGGGGGCATGTGAAAGGGAGGAAGGTCTTATCCACGATGCGTATCCAAGCCACTCTGAAAGCGAAGCAGCTGAGCTTTCTTCTCCTCCGGCAAGGTAATGTCTTGTTTTGCCTCAGCTACTGCCTCAGCTACCCCGGGCGCTGCCGGCAAACATCACCCATTGAAACGGCCCCGGGCGCCTGCACACGCCCTTCGCTAGTGGCAGGGCCAACAAATCGTGACCACAAGCAAACATCCATCTCAAAATAAAAGAATCCCCGGATCCCCCCGAATACTTCCTTGATATTTTAAAAAAAATTATATATATATAAACATGATACATGATCCTATCCAGTACCCAGCTGTCTGAGCGATCTTCCAAAACCTGATTGATGGCCAAAACAAGTCAAGGCCGATGACCTGAGTGTCCGAGTAGGGCTCCTCCAACTTCGCTTCGCCCTGAAAAGGTCTGAGACGAATGGACCAACAAAAGACCCTGCAATCACTGCAATCTGTCAAACCCCCAAACAACCAATCCATTGATGCACACGAAAACCAATGGAAACAATCTTACGCCCGAATAGGTCTATGATTCATTTTTAATATTCTATATATTGTCTATGTTTGGGGATCCTTGAACTGTTTGTCTCTCAAAACTACCCGACAAGGATACTGGAAGCACATGCTATACATCCAACAGCTGCAGCTGATGCCACTGGTGCTTATAGATAGGGAAGGAGAGGTGTACAGTATTACAGTACAGTACATCTCATGTAGCGGGTCAGCAACGCCCTCCACTAAGCCTGTAGTGCCAATCAAATCTGTTTGCGCAAGCAAGCGCAACGATAGCTGACCACTTTTTGGGCGGACCGTCCGCGAAAACCTTCCACCTCAATTCAGCCCCCCAACACACACTCTGACACTTGTATTCAGTTAACTCAGTTACCACGGTGGGA